TTCTTTCTTTCTTTCTTTCTTTCTTTCTTTCTTTCTTTCTTTCTTTCACATATTTATATGCCATCCTATTCAAAAAAAGCCTCAGGATGGCTTACAATATAAAATACAACATAAATAAATTCCCGACCCACACTGGCTGCAGTTAAAAACATAGAAAAGACAATATTAAAACTTATTAAAATATTGCTGGAATAAAATCTTAGCCTTCCTACCAGTTGTTTTTCTTCTGGAAACAGTTTAGCGGTGATGCACTGGTACATCTTTCCCCCTGCCCCCTAAAACCAGCAGGTTTCATCTCGCAGGGAACAAACAGATCAACAGAGGCTCAGCTATGCTTATTACTTATCTGTTTGGGGATATGCATACTCTGCCCTTCAGTTAAAAACTCCTAGGACAGCTAACAACAACTACAAAATCAGAAACATGGCAAAAGAACATACAATAAATGTGGAATGTTTTAAGAACGGAAGGAGATGTAGAACATCAGAAGCTGGTGCAGAGAATAGAACGTCAGAAGCTGGGCAGGGGGAAGATAAAGAAGGGTCTCTTACAAAGGTGTTTGAGATGACAGCAAATCCTAAGTGAAAACTTTTCACTGTAATCCTGACCACACACACACACACACACTTCGGCATAGTCACTCTATTGGGGTGTCCTTTCCCATAAACATTTAAAGGATCCAACTGTGTGTCCAAGAAAACCTTTTCCAGTGCAATCCTATGAATGTCTACACAGAAGTAATTCCTTTTATGTTTCAAGGGTTTTACTCCCAGGTAAGTGTGTATAGAATTAAAGCCCTAACAAAGAACATCTTTGCATACCACGAGCAAATTATTTTCTATATCTGTATCCAAAACAAGGTCACCTATGCACAAAAGGAAAATATGAGAAGGCTTGGGAAAACCCCAAAGTTTACGGGAGTACAACAAAAACTGAAAAGTGAAATGAATGAAGAGTGGGGAGAAGGGACCCCAAAATATTCCAACCAAGACTGACTCAGTGGGCATGGAATAATGACTGGCTGTTGTGAAATAAGACAGAAAATCAGGTGGTAGAATGGAGTGTCCTGGACAGGCTGACTTCCTGAACCCTGAACTCTGCACTACAACTTTTTGTGGCAGTCAAACTTGTTTTGTTATGGTCGTCGTGAGTGGAGCTGGCTGGAGTCGGGGGTCAGACTAGATGGTCCAGGAGGACCCTTCTGACTTGCTCTGACTTATAGCAACATGATCAATGAAAGCCCTCCAAAATATCCTTTCCCTGGCAGCCCTGCTCAGCTCTTGTAAATTCATGTCTGTGGCTTCCTCTATGGAATCAATCCATCTCATGCTCAGTTTGTAGAACTTACAAGTATTATTCATGCTACATGGAAGGAGCTGTTTTCCAATCAACAGAGGCTGCAGCTAGAAGTCAGAAGGAAGTGAAATTAAACTGCATGTTACTTGCAAAAACAGCCTGGGGATGCATTTATACTACAAACCTAAACTATTTAAAATATACTAGCTATTTCCCACTAATCCCCATGAATATTTTTGGGGAAAAAATAATGATTATTTCCTTTTTAGAGCCCTCACAAAATCGCAGTTCTCAGCATCCACAGGGGACAAAATGATGGGAGAAGGGACAATAGTCAGAACACAGCTCTGACTCAGGATAGCTTAGGAGAGGCCATGGCTCTGACACAGAGCAGACGCTTTTTGACCAAGACATTAATCATGGGTAAAACAACCACAGTTAACCTATAATTGGCAATTAGGTGAACTATGGGCAGCTTTACCAATGATTAACCTAACCTTTCCACCAGTGGGGCCTGAATTTGTACAATCAGCTAAAGATGGTCCTTTGCTTCCCCAAATCTGAACAGTCCTCAGTAACAATAAAAAAGTTCAACATATTCTTATCCTGTATGGAGAATATTTCACCTGCAACATTTCTGGCTTTCACGCAGCTCTGCTGAGGAAAGCAAGCAAGCAAGAGAAAAAAGGAGGGAGGTTTTATCTGCAATTTATGCAACACCTCATGGTATCTTGTGCTGAACTGAAACCCCATTCCAGTAAAAAGGTAAAGGAAAAGAAAAAACAAAGAGAGACAGGAGTGGACAAGTTAATCTTCGGATGTGCCAGACTGCAGCGGGCTAATTGGATCACTCTGTCCTAATGATATTGTTTCCCCAAGGAGACCTGGCTGCCTTTAACACAATAGCTTATTTAAGGTTACTCAGATCTTTGGAGACAAGAGAACAAGGTGAGGCTTTTTTCTTCAAGAAAAAAGCCCAATTCCTTTTCCTATCCCCTCAAAGGAGAAAAGGTGAGAAGGATAGAGAAATGCAGTTTTCCAGGTGGGAGACTGTAGAATTTAGTTCTTTGATCAATAGGTAGGGACTGTGTCCACCAATATAACTTTGTCCAAGGCCTTGGTACATCACAACCAGTGAGACCGAACAATACTGTCCCAGAGAGACCAAAGGTTTGATGCAGTATATTGCGAGTGACTTGTTCACTAGAACGGGTCTCCCCTAAAGAAGGAATTCTTCTCCGAAAGATGGGGCAAGCTGGCACAAAACAGGTCCTTCCATGGTTTTGTGTTACTGCTGGGTGGGGCGTACTTTTTTTACCTCCTTGCTTTTGGAAGCTTCCTATGCCCATTTGTAGAGGGGGTATTAGAAAGTGCTCCACCAGGAATGAAGTCTCCAGTCTTTCCTTTGGAGCCCCAAATCTCTGGGAGACCATCTGCCCACCAGCCTGCTGTCCAGGGGCAAGAGCCAGGGACCCAAAGGACCTCTGTGGCATCTGGTACCCCTGGACAAACTGTCCTTTTGCCCATACAGGCGTCATCTCCTGTTCCCCTCTGCCCCAGTCTTTCTGCTGGAGATGTTTTCCTGAATCAAATGCCCTCATCTCGCCTGTCCATCAATGCCTTTTTCCAACAGGACTCATGGAGAGAGATTTTAGAGCATATGTAAATTAGCAGATGCAAATTTGGACATGTTCTTTTTCTTTTTTTCCCTGTGGGTCTGAATCCTATTTATTTTTGAGACCTAGCACTATCCCTGTTCTTTGGCACAGGTTTGAGACCACACGGTTTGATGGTGAAGGACATTCCTGAATGCGGAAAGTCTCAGGCTGCATCTAGCACCTCTAGTTAATAGGCCTGTGCCTCTCGGGACAGCTGGCCTAGTGGCCTGACGTGTGTCCATAGAACCACAGAGTCGGAAGGACCTCAGGGTCATCTAACCTGACCCCTCAACCCCCTGCCCTGCACACAGCTCGTTACAAGTCATGGCAAAAGCTATTTTCAGTGCCAATCCCACAATATGCTTTGCTTTATTCTATTTTATCTTATTCTTAAACTGTCCTGAGACCATGGGAAGGGACGGTCTTAAAAAAGCTTTAAATAAATAAATATTTAAAGTGACAATTTAAAAAGTAGTCTAATCTGTCATACAGTGGGGAAAAAGGGGTATCTTGTGACAGTGACTGCAGCACTGAACCAGGGCCTGGGGGAGAAACAGGTTCAAATTCCCACAAAGCCAACTGGTGACCTTTGGCCGATCACTGTCTCTGAGTCTAACCTACCTTGCAGGGTTGCTAGGAGGATAAAACATGCAGAGCAAGCTAAAAATGTAATCACACAGGTGGAATTTCCCTAACAGCTCCTGTCCCTTTTCAAGTAAAACTTTTCAGAGAAACACCTCCACATTGACTATTTAATAGCATTGAACAAGCCTGGCTTTGCATTTTAAAAATGGTTTCAGCTGTTAGATTGTTTTTATATGTTGAAACTGGAAACTTTTAATGCCATTTTTATTGTTTTGCAATCTTTGCAAACTGCTGCAAACTGCCCGGAGAGCTTTGGCACCTGGGCAGTATAGAAATGAAATTAATACATAAATATTTAAAGTGCATTTTTAATGTTCCTGTCAGGCACTGCGACAATTCAGCTGGAAAATTCACGCAGACTTGACACGATGGGTGAACAAACGAAGAATGCACATACGTCAACACAGACGATCTGGCGGAACACAGTCTGTCAAATTGCATAAAGTGTGCGGGCAGTGTCCAGAAACACGGTACTTACGCCTGAGGATCTCCCTCTGCTTCCGGACGTACCAGGTATAGAGAGCCTCCCGCTTCTGGGTTTTCATCGGTGTCCCCTTGTTGAGATGCTGGGAAAGATGGGATTGATTGAGTCCCGTGATATCCACCACCTCTCTCTGCGGGATGTTGTGCTGCTGCATGTAACCCTTGATCATCTTTGCGGCCCGCCATGGGTCCTCACTGAAAAAGCAGGGGGGGAAAGACAGTGAAACTTCCAGCAGATGGAAGGCTCTGGAAAAAGCCTACTTTGGAGCTAGAAGACACATTAATCCCTTCCAAGCAAGCATATTATGGGAGATGATTTCCCCCTGCCGGGTCCCCCAGGGCTCAAAGGTATACTCAAGGGAGATATGCCCTCTGCCCATGCGGCCCCTTATTAACTGTGCCTGTGATTCTGGGCTTTACAGGGCCTATCCATGGTGCAGAACCTCATCCCTCCATTAGGCAGACCACCCTCAAATCCCAGGGATAGTCCTATAAAGCTCAACCTAAAAGCTGCACTGAGAAGGAGCCCCCAGCCTTTCCTGAATACACCTTGCACGCTGGACTCCTCAATCCAAGGTATCATTCACACTTTTTATTTATTTATTTATTAAAACATTTTTATGCCGCCCCATTCGCCGAAGCCTCGGGGCGGCTTACAACAATAAATTAAAATAACTATAATCTTAAATTAAATTAAAAAAATATAAGCATTAGATTAAAAATACAAAAATACAACATAAAATAAGCCGCCCTGGCCAGATAAAATCCAATAATTTTAACATTTAAAATACCGCTTAAATAAAAAGGTCTTGCACCTTCGTCCTATGGTCACTCGTTACTTCATCACTCAACATTTATTTATTTAAGACATTTAAATAAATGTTGAGTGCGTGCTGTCCTTTGTGAGAGCCTCATTTATTAAACTGAACGTTTAATATTTGGCCACAGAAAGGTTTCAAAGTCGATGCCCTTAGAAAGCATTTTCTTGCTGGTAATTTCCCTTTTGCTGTTACTCTAGTCTAAGTGTCTGGGGGCCCAATTTGGATTATAACTATGACCCTCTGGGAGGGAAGCATTCGATTCCCGCCACACTTTTTTTTTTATGAAATCCCTCCCCCTTTTGAGGTGGGTTTAAACCTACCACCTGTGATGGGGGAAGATTTTGGAAAGCAAAAGATGGTAGAAGGGAAAAATTTAACCTTCCATGCCTGACTGCAACTGTCCTGATCCAAATCGAAGCCTTGCACTTACACCAAAGTCAACAAAAAGATAACCTTGAGCTACATGTCACACAATTAGCTTACCTTGTGCTTTGGATTTTAGTCATTAAAAAGGTCAGGAAATTCTGAGCAGAAAAAATGGGGAATTACACCAACCCCTTCAAGCAGAATATAAATTTGGGGGAGAATCGTTTCCGTTTAGCTCACAACTGAGGCTGACCAGAAGCCAGGTGGGTGTAAGCAGATACAGGATTAGGAATTCCCAGGCTTGTTGGAAAACCCAGAATCTGTTCCCATACACATATACACCTGAAAAGCCATTTAGTTATCAACTTTTATGAAACTAATTGTATTGCTGTGCCAGTAAACTCTAAATGTGCATTATGAGCATCTGCAAGAAAGCAGCCCCAAGTCCAACTCAAGGGCATGAAGAGGTGCCAGAAATAGCCACACCTCAAAATTTCACCTCAGGTTTGGCCAGGTTTGCACTGGCCTGACGTGGAGCACCCTTTACCCCCCTTGCAGTGAAAGCAGGACGGTGCAAATGATCCTCCTCCCCTCACGACAACCCTGCGAGGTACTGAGGCTGAGAGTCCCAAAGGCACACAGTGAACTTCATGGCCAAGCGGGGACTCGAGCCAGGATCCTCCCAGTCCCAGTCCGGCTCTCTCGCCAATAGACCACACGTGTGTGAAATTCCAGTCCCAGAGTCAAGACATCAGCTAGCATTTTGATGCCCAGAGTAGGGCAGGGGATGTATCCTGTGGAATAAGGGTGGCGAACCTTTTCTGCCCCGGGACTGAACTTCCCCCAGGAAGGACACTGCAGACCACACACTAAAGGCCACGTTGCCCCCACAAGACTACGCCAGGGGTCACAGACTCAGGGCAGCATTTCCCCCAGGAGCCACATCAAGGGCCACCTGCCAAGAGTGGTCGGAGCCTCATCCACCCATCCCATAATCAGCCACCTCATTGCAGATCAGTCAGTTTCTTAGCAAGGCTCAACTGTTTTACGACACCCCGGATCCTCTTGTCTTTTGTTACTTGACAGCTCCCCACCAGCACTGCTCGGACACACAAAGCTCCGGCCAACATCAAGAAAAATCTGCGAGGCCCTTGAGGTGCCTCAGGATTTCAGTGCCGTTTTCCTTGTTTTCTCTTCTGCAAGGAGGTCACAACTGTATGAACAGGAAAAGCGTACTGGGCTAATAGGTACGCAGTTTGGAGTGGTAACGTTAAACAAAAAGAAAACCTAAAAAAAAGGCTTGCAATTGTTGCCTTCCTTGTGTACCCAGAGTTCCTGGATCAAAGTGGGGCATCTGCTGAGTCACGGAAACGCATGACTGCCGCATGGACCTGGTCACGAAAACAGCCCGTCCCTTTCTGACATACGCTCCTGACGGATCAGAAACTGCCCAATTCCAGACGGCTCGGGCCTGTGGCTTGGGAGAAGTTTCATCACCGGATTTACCTGCCTGCTGCTCCCACCCTTCAACATCTCCCAACAAAAGTGGGTAAACACAACTTGACAACATCCTCCCCAGAAATATGCCAAGCATGTATTCTCCTGGATTATAAAACCCAGGGCTCTCTCTGGCAGAAAGCAACCTATCTTATCTCTACCTCTCACTGTGCACACACATAAAAGTTGCGGCGGGGGGGGGGGGGTTGCCAAACTGTGCACAGCCACCCCCTATCCTTCAGGTCTATCTGTGCTCCGCAGAGGTAGAGATGGGTGAGAATTACCTTTGGATCAGTTTTTGATAAGAATTTATGGACGTGGGCAAATGTCTTCATGAATGAGACACAGTTGAAGGTTTTTCTTCCCCCTTCAGTGCAAATGTGGAGCGAAACGGACAACTTAGTCATGCGCCTGGGCAGAGCTCCGGCTTCTGAAATAAACAAGGCTTTGGATCCCTGGGGCTGTGGGACTTACTTCCGAGCCAGCCCATTAAAGATCCGTCATGTGATTGAAGGCGAGATCTTATGCATGTTTGGGCGGAAAAATACACTGTATGGAGAATGCTTTTTTCTGTCTAAACATGAGCAGGAGCACACCCTAAGTTTGCCTGGCCCCAGTGCTGTTCAAAAGATCTCTGGCTGTCCCGGTCAAAGTAGTAATAACTCCTCTCTCTCCCCAAAAATATAAAACTCAGCCTTTACTCAGATTTGTCTCTAATGCTAAATGCCAACAAAACACAGTTTTATGGTGCCTGTCAAACAACTGCTGGGCCTACAAATACATCCGTATTCTCAAATATTTATTCATTACATTTATACCTCACCTTCTCTGGGAGGGAGCCAAGGTGGCTTACAGGATGTTCCTCTTCTCCATGTTATCCTCACAACCAGCACCCTGTCAGGCTGAGAGTCAGTGACTGGTCCAAAGTCACCCCAATGTGTTTCATGGCCAAGTGGGGACTAGAACCCAGTTCTCCTGAGTCCCGGTCCTAAAAGCTAACCACTAGGCCATGCTGGTTGTATAACCACAGCAGCCCTGTGGGAACCAGGAGAATATCAGAAGGTTATTGACTTCAGTTTTGTTTTAATCCGCTGTGTTTTCTATTCAAACTGCCTCTATCCAAGTCCACAGCTTCCATTCACTCCAGGAGTGAAGCTGCTTCTGGCCCCATCAGAACCACTGAGGTGGAATCTTTGGGGGGGGGGGATCATTTCCCACTTGCAGCCCTCTGGTGTTTCCTCACCACTCCTTTCCCTCCCCCCCCACTTTTTTTGGCTCCAGAAAGACATACAGCAACGTGTCCCAGAATCAGCAGCAGAAAAATCCCCACTTCCGATTATTTATTTATTTATTTATTTATTTATTTATTTATTATTTTTGGATTTATATCCTGCCTTTCTCCTACAAAGGGCTCAAGGCAGCTTACATCTCCTCCTCCATCTTATCCCCACAACAACCACCCTGTGAGGTAGGTTGGGCTGAGAGTCTGTGGCTGGCCCAAAGTCACCCAGCTGGCTCCATGGCTGAGTGGGGACTAGAACCCGAATCCTCAGAGTCCCAGTCCCATGCTCTTAACCACTATGCCACCCTGGATTACAGATTTGGTGCACCATCTTTTGAAATGTTCATCAGCATGAAGGTTCAATTTGTAGCAGGTATCCTTGGATTTCAAAGGTTAGACTCAGGGTGTTCTGGAAATACTACAGCTCCTTATAGGGAATTGGTGTTTATAATGTCAGCAAAGACAATTGGATCGAACAGTGTTAGTATGTTGGAAGACAGAAGTGCTCCCCAAACCTTTTGGCTCTGTGTGCTCATTTGGGAATTTGATAAATTGCTGGAAAGCGTTTCCCAGCAGTACCCAGAGATGCTGGGACATGGTTTGGTAATTCTCTACCTCTGGATTTCCTGCATTGAACAGGGCGTTGGATTGGATGGCCTACAAGCTCCATTCCACTATTAAGCTTCTACACGTAGGTTGTCTGAACCGTCTGTAACAATACCAAGGGTACGGTCATGTCTTTCTTGGGACCAAGTCAGCTTTGCAAGTTTCCCCAGAAATCTCCTTTCTTTGTGATGCCTAAGTGCTGTTCATTTGGCTGCATTTGTGAAACTGATCTGAGAATTTCCTTTCTTGTTTTTCCATTACAGAACCTCCAAGTGGGACTACAATCAGAATAGTGCAAATGCACAGGAAAAAAATGTGCTTCCTTTCAGTTTCACAATTACATGCTCCATTTCCCCTACTCTAAAATAAAGCAAGGCCCTTAGTTGGCTCTAAAAACGGGTTGCCAATAGCCCCCTCTGAATTTTTATTTTTCTCCCATGAACCAATGTGGCCAGCAAGGAATGTTGATAGCGATACTCCCGTGTGGTACAGAACAACAAGCCTTCTTGGGCCAGATGTGGTGGACCACACTCCCCGTCATCCCAAGCCACCATGACGCTGCAGTCCAATATATCTGGCAGGTGCCAACTTAGTGTGAGCCAAAAAGCATCGCCGTGTGTTGG